GAGGTGATGGAGTCACCATCCCTGCAGACGTTCAAAAAACGAACACTTGAGGCTGTGGTCTAGTGGTTAGGGAGATGCTGGGAGGAAGGGTGAACTTGCTGATCCTGGAGGTCCTTTCCAACCACAGTGATTCTATGGTTCTATGGGGATAGCTACATTTACGCAGGGGTGAGAAGGCCGGGGTTGCCTCAGCTGGCCAGCATCTTGTCTGCATACACCAGTACTAACACAGAGCAAATCTGCCCCATCTGCTGCATGGGTGGAGGCTTCTCCACGGTGCTGGGCTTCAAATTCAGACCAGTGACTCAAAAGAGTAATCCAGGTAACACAGATTGATGACAGGTACCAAGCTGCAGTCCTTCATGTGCGTTGTGGCTGCACTGTGAGAATTGGGTCTCCCCTTCTCTGCCCCTGAAGTGTTGTTCCTTTGCTACCAGGGACACAGTTTCTATGGCACAGCCCATCACACAGGCTGACCTGCTTTTTTTTCTTTCCCCCCCCAATCCCATCCCACACCTTCTGTTGCTTAGGGAGATAGATATAATGTGTCAGTTAAAGTTCACCATGAGTAATTTATGTGCTGAATCTAAGAATGTTTATATTTCATATGTTTGCCTCTTGGCTCTTTCGGAACTGTTTCCTTTTTCCTATTGGAAAACTCTGGAGTATATTGATCTGTGTCTATAAAACAGCATCAGTGATGTCAAGGGCATCTGATTCAGACAGTCCTGATATTGAGATACCCGAGTTTTCCCTGAATATATGTGAATAGCATACACTGGCTGGGAATCTAGAAGAAATGAGGGCTTGGAGAAACCAAAACACAGCAAAAGATCAAAGAAGATTGAGCAGGAATCTAGAAGAAACAGGGACTGAAATGCAGGTGGGCAGTGGTAGCAGCCCTCTTTGCCACTGCAGCACAAAGCAGCGCTTTGGAAAGCACATAATACCATCGCTGACAAAGAGGAAGAGATCTTGCTTTAGAAATAGAAGTGAAATAGATTCCTCCTACAGGCAGGCACACAAAGTTTTCATCTTCCCACTCACGCCACTGCTCCAACAGCCTTGCAGCCCTGTTTGCATCCTGGGGTGAGCGAGCTGGGAGACTGGGAGTTGTGGGAGAGTGCAGCTGCTGAGCCCCTGCCACTGGCAGCACGCCCCATGGGATGGGTCAGGGAGCAATCCTTTCCCTCCTAGCTGCACTCTCCTGCTTCCCTGTCTTGAGGGGGAATAAGGTTTGTGAAGAGATGATTTAAAACAAAATAAAATTTAAAATTGTCAGTGTCTGCGTATTGGATAAGTAGCTTAAACTTACTTATCCAAGGCAACTGTAACCTAAGCAGATGAAGTCCACTTGAGCTGCAGCTGAATTTGGCCCGTTGTCTCTCCTTCACACCCACAGTACAAATAAAATCTGCAGCTTCTTAGGGCTAGGTAGGAGGGAGGAGGAGGGAGAGACACTGGAGTGTGGTGTTGCATTGACAGTTGATGTGCATTCCTTGGGAACTTGTGCTTCTCATCACTTCTGGATATAGCAGTATGACAAGTCACTGGGAGAAGAGATGCAGCTTGTTACGAGTGGGACAGGATGATGAGTGTAGGAGCTCTATGGGAGTTGTGACAGAGCAATGCTGAAACACTGAACAAGTGATGCTGTGCTGAAAATTGGACTGGAGTCTTCAAAAACTAAATCTCTGGGAGGAGTTACATTCAAAGGGGTCATTTTAATTCAGAATGATGTTTACTTTCAACTATCCTTTAAATAATTTAGGGCTGTGTCCCTCTGGAGTAGCAAACAGCAGAAGGGCTTCTGCTATCAGTTAAATCTGGCAAACAGACTATACAGAAGTAATTCATCTTTGCTGCTTGAACAATAACATTTACAGTGGATTTTCCTCCAGAAGGAGGCTATGGACATTTCTAAGGGGTGTACAAGAGTCTCTCCCACCCTCACTAAACAGCAGCTAGCTCTGTGATAGAGCCAAGTCATCATTTGGCACTGCAAGGTGCAATGACTTAAGGAAATATTATAAAAATATGAAATCCAACTAATATAGAATATGAAAGGGTCATTTAAACCTGCAGAAGGTATTTATGAAGCTGGAGTTTAGATAGTTAGTAACATCTGTGGAGTTGCACTCAGTGCATTGAGTCTTCATGACTCTCAAACGTCCAAGGTTTTTTTGGAAGCTTTCCCTCACTGGCCCAGTATATTTTCAGAAGCATTACTGGTGCATGGGGCACTTCTATCAGACCAAGAACTGTTTCATTTCAGCTTCAGCTGCATTCAGAACCAAAGTAAGTTAAATAGGAAGTAACACAGAACAAGTATGCTCACTCGTATGGTGATTATATTGTTATGTCAGTTTAATTTGAGGCATAACTTAAAACTTTGTTGTGAAGACAAATCCTTAAAAGAAAGATCATTTGTGTCTGTGAGTTCACATATCCTCTTGATACATTCTAATATAGTTGGGGAAGAGTGGCCAGGGCAGAGTGTGATCTGCAGAGCTACATTTTGCTTGTGTATCATTGCCTTGCAATTTCATTTGTATTTTTCATTTCAGCAGAAGGCAATAAAAATCAGGTATCCTGAGCACCTAAATCACCAGATCAATACCCCTGCTGGAGAAGATCTGGTAGTTTGGAAGGTGGATTTTTCAGGTGTTGAGCAATGACTTAAACTCCTTTTCAGTGACATCAGTGCCTTCCACTGATTTTGGTGAATCCCAGATAGGTCACTGACAAGCACTTCTTTAAATGCAGCTTAATCCCCAACTGTACTTGATCCCAACAGAAAACCCTCAGTGCTGTACTGCTGCTCAGAAGTATTGTGAAGCTCATGGTTTTTTCTCCAGCAGTGTCACATTATAGTGACAGAAGAAACTGCCAGAAGAAGCTGAGTCTGATGTCCTTGTTTGTAGAGCACTTTGGGATCCCTCAGAGAGCAATGTGAACGTGGGTGGGCTGTGGTTCGCTCCCCCCTGGCTTTCAGTGCCAGAGCGTGAGGCTTTCCCACTTTCTCCTTTTTTCTTTCCTTCCTGCCTTTGCCGTGGAGAGCTCAGGTGGTGTTTGTGAGCAGCTGCTCTGGTTCCCTCCCTGCCTGCAGCAGCACCCAGGCAGCTGCCCCCGGGGCAGCCGGAGGTGCCCAGAGCAACGCCCAGCTGGGTTAAAAACTAACGCGACTGGGGAAAGGGGCGGGAGGTGGAAAATCCGTGACCTAGAGGAGGTTCTGCAGCACAGCCAGTGGGTGCTGAGGGACCTGGGTGACCTCCCTGTCCAACTAGAGATGCATTTTCCATGATTCTGTCACTGCAAGGCTAACCTGCTGACTCGGGGAGAGCTGTTAGTCACGGGGTGATGCTGAAGTTCTCTGGGAAAGGAAGTGTTGCTGTCAGTGGCAAACAGCTTCATGGTCATGTCTCATGGAAACTTAAATGTGTGTAAGTGTGTGTTCAGCATCTGCTGGCTGCACGCTGCATGACTCGGGCACCAAGAGGGTCAGGTGTGGCTGAGAACAGGCCTGTGATGTGCAGGATGACTTTTTTGGTTTCAGGCAGTTTTCTTGTGGATGCTAGAGCATTACATTGAAGTCCATCCTTCATTTTATGTGTGTATTTTTCCAGCGATGATCATAGTGTCTGTTTTGTGCTTCCACCTTTGAGCAAGTACAGATGAGTGAGGAGCAATTCAATGTACATGAAGCTCTGTGGTAGGTGTCTGGCACGTCAGGATTTCGGCTTTTGCCCAACTTAATATTTCTTTTCTTTGTATTCCAGAAAAAGGCATGGCATACAATTAAAACCATGGTTAACTTACCAGTCATCAGCCCCTTCAAGAAACGCTACTCATGGGTGCAGCTGGCTGGGCATACAGGTGAGGCAGATACCTTCAATGTCCTTGTCTCTGGAGTGGGGATGCCAGCAGCAAGGAAAACAGTGTTTTGGTGTTTCTCTGCTTCCTTCCTTCAGGTAAAAAGGAAACAGCCAATATCACATAAATCTGTGAACTAGAACATCTTTCTTTCAGTTATGGTGGGGATAGGGAAGAGGAAGTGATAGAGCAAGGGATGGTCAGACTTTGGGGCTCCTGACACATTAAGTTGATGTTTCCCTCTGACACAAACTTTACATACAAGAGGGACTGGGGAGTTGAAGCCCTAGTCTGTCTGTTGCTGCTGGTTGTGGTAGGGCATCATCTTTCTTGACTGATCAGCCAGTATGTGGGTTGGGAAGGATTACTGTCCATGCCTGTATGTGCCTCAGCCCTGGCAAGGACAGTGTTTCTAATACCAGCCCCAAACCCCTCATTTGAATGTTAGCACTTGGGTGGAAAAGAAATCTGGTGAAAACTGAGTTGCTGACCAGGTGTCTGTGTTGCAAGTTTGTCATTGTTGGGAAGGATTACTGTCCATGCCTGTATGTGCCTCAGCCCTGGCAAGGACAGTGTTTCTAATACCAACCCCAAACCCCTCATTTGAATGTTATTCATCTTTCTGTCATTGTTCACTGTAGCTGCTCAGCTGACTGGTCCTAGTTTTGCATCTGCAGAAGTTGTGCTAGCTGTGTAGAAGCTCCTGACATAGGCTTTGTTTCATTGGTAAGGGGAAGAAAAAACTAACAAAGAAGTCATCAGGTTTGCTTCTCTCGTGCTTCATTTAATTCCTCTGCAGCCCTTGTTCCTAAAGTGCCAGTGGGGGGTTTATTAGTACCCATGTGGGCAGGCACCTACGCTGCATCGTGCTGTAGTGCAGTACCTGAACCACCTCTTGATATGCTAATGCACTAACATGGTGCACTTCAGAGCTGTGCAGAGACATTTATTTAGGCCTGGAACTGGAGGGAGCTGCATTTTGCACAGTGGTGTTGGTGGGCCTGGCTTGATTCACACAATGCCCAGATGACCCAGTCCTGCCGTGGGTTTTATCACAGCTTGTGTGGGGTTAGCTTGATCTGTGTGGAGTGGTGCACTGGCTCTGTAGTTGTGTAGTAGGGTGGAAGAGGAGGGTTAAGAGGTTACTGAAAGCTGATTAGGAGAGATACTGCACCAGTTTGCTTTAGTTTTGTGTGATTGCATTTCATCCATCGTTTTGCAGCTGTTCTTCTCTCTGATACAATGAGTTCTTTCTAAACAAAACCCTTGGCCATCACCACCCTCACCCTTGTGCTCAGGCAGTGCCAATTCTGAGATTTGTCAGGGAATAACCAGTTTGCAATAGCTGAAGGGTCCTGATGGGACAAAAGTGGAGTGTTGGCCCCAGGATTAATGAGGCTTCTACTTTGGTGCCTATTGTATGTTGTGTAGGTTAAAGGGTACCCCTGGACAAAACATGTGCTCTCCTCACATGTTAGTGGCAGATTGGAGGAGAGGAAAGTGTCTGGACAGGAGAATCCAGACAGCTGGAGAATAATTATTGCCACTCTTGGTCTATACAGGCTGTCATTTGCACTGGTTACCATTCAGACACAGAGCTGGAAGAAACAAAAACCCCATTTGCACTGTGAGTAGCAGGCTCCAGGGAAGAGGCAGTGCCTGGAGGTACAGGCGTGTGCAGTCACAGCATGTGTGTGTGTGGAAAGGGCAGTGCTTGGCTCCTGGCCTCTTTGGGGCTGTTGAACAATCACTGCTTGGCTGTACTGCCTCTGTATGTACACACTCAGCAGGTAGAGCCCATGTGAGGATTAAGGACAAAGCCAACACTGGGAGTGTTATGCAGCTTTAAAATAGCCTGTCAGAGGATTAGTGAATTCTGGCTTGTAGCTTCTTCCTGTGCATTTTAGTATGTATAGTAATGTTTAATATCCTAACAAAGAGTTTAGCGTGGAAGGAAAAAAAACCCCAAACAAAACAATGGCCTGGAGCAGCTGCACTCCTTAAAGCTATAAATTCTGAGGTGGGAATGTATCCAAATGGACTTTAACTGCTAAGGGCTGTGTTTGTCCTGGGTGTTTTGTTTTGTATCTTTTCTGCTCATGGGAAATCTCTACCTGGTGTCATGAGGCTGAGGTAGATGAAGGTGGAGTGGTGGGGGAAGGTGTTTGTCTTTTCTGTGGGTTGGTCTTGTCAGCACGTGTTTTGATTTCTGGGGGTGCTGGTGGACAGACAGCTGAATGTGAGCCAGCAGTGTGCCCAGGTGGCCAAGAAGGCCACCAGCATCCTGGCCTGGATCAAAACTAGTGTGTCCAGCAGGAGTAGGGAGGTGATCGTGCCCCTGGACTCGGCACTGGTGAGGCCACAGCTTGAGTACTGGGCTCAGTTTTGGGCCCCACAGTAGAAGAAAGACCCTTGAGGTGCTGGAGCAGGTCCAGAGAAGGGCAACAAAGCTGGCGAAGGGTCTGGGGAATGTTTCTTCTGAGGAGTGGCTGAGGGAGCTGGGATTGTTTAGCCTGGAGAAGAGGCTGGGAGGGGACCTTATTCTGTCTACAACTACATGAGAGGAGGTTGGAGTGAGGTGGGTGTTGGTCTCTTCTCCCAGGTAAGTAGCGACAGGACGAGAGGAAATGGGCTGAAGTTGTATCAGGGGAGGTTTAGATTTGATATTTGGAAGAGTTTTTTCCCTGACAGAGTGGTGAGGCTTTGGACCAGGCTGCCCAGAGAGGTGATGGAGTCGCCATCCCTGGAGGTGTCCAAAAAATCTATAGACGTGGCAGTTTGGGACCTCATTTAATGGTCATGGGAGTGTTGTGTTGACGGTTGGGTTTGATGATCTTGGAGGTCCTTTCCAACCTTAATGACTCTGTGATTTCTCCTTTTTTAGGGAGCTTCAAGGCAGCTGACAGCGGGAGGATCCTGAAGCGTTTCTCAGAGAACGAGAAGGAGTGTTTTGAGCGGCTGATGAAAGACCCGCTGCACTCCTGCGTCCCTCGCTTCCACGGCGTGGTGGAGAGGGATGGGGAGAGCTACATCCAGCTGGATGACCTGCTTACTGATTTTGAAGGGCCTTCTGTGATGGACTGCAAGATGGGGATCAGGTGGGGTGCATGAAAGAGAAGGTGCTTTCTAACCCTGATGCATTTGAAGGAAGCAAGAGGTGTGGTCATGCTCTCTCTGGAGGAGTTAGCAGCGTTTTTGGAGCCTTGGGTTTCAGTCCAGACAAGCTGTAGCTGGTTTGACACTTTGGACAACCTGAGGAGACTGTGCCACAGTTGACTGATTGTACATGGATTCTGGAAACTCACTGATGTATAGCCTTAAAAACTATCTGCATGATGAAAGTTTCAGGGGTGGTTTAAGAAAAAGCTTCTCTGCAGTGGCCTGATAATCCCTGGGGAAAAAAAAAATTACATAATTCATTCACTGCCAGTTCATTTGATCTTTGTGTATGCAAAAAACTCCACAAGGAGCAAAATTCCCAGCTCGAAATGCGAGTGGAATATTTGTCACCCTTCACTTTCCTGTTCTTAGTTATCTCTTCTGGTTTGGAACAGCTCACATAATCTGCTTTACTCTTTAATTTTCCCTATATGAGGAGTGATTCTGTCTTTCACTGTAATGCATTAAGTAAAACGTTAATTGCTTTTTGAAGCCTAAGAAAAAATCACACATGACTGATGTTAGAGTGGTTTTTTTTGAGGAGAGAGAGGACAGTAAGACTTCAGCAACCCTATTTGCTTTTGATTTCATTGTAAAGGCTCTCTCCTAATTGTCCTCTGAAAATACAGTTCTATTTCATGGCACAGTAAAAATTCATCTTTCTCCCAGTTTGTAAGCAGGACAGAACAATAACATGTGACAGTAAGTAAAGGTGTAGTTAGAATAAGAAATGAATGACACTGTTTGTGCAGTCATTAGTCTGTGTTCTTTAGTTTCCCCATATGGAAAACTGGGGGAATAGTAACACTTACTTTCCTGGTTGACATTTGAGGCCAGATTATACGTTGTAAAAAGAAATGTTTGGGAAATCCTTACAATTTCATTGGGATGTGATGTTTTTGCAGGACATACTTGGAGGAAGAGTTGACTAAGGCCCGTGAGAAACCGAAGCTGCGTAAGGACATGTACAAGAAAATGATTGAAGTGGATCCTCTGGCTCCCACAGCTGAAGAGAATGCCCAGCATGCTGTCACCAAACCCAGATACATGCAGTGGAGGGAAACCATCAGCTCTAGTGCCAACCTGGGCTTCAGAATTGAAGGGATCAAGGTAACAGTTTCACTCCTGCCTGTTCTTGGAGACAGAACTATGTTGGTTGGATATGTTGATTAATCAAAAAGCTAGTGTGCATCAGGAGCTGGGTTTTCCAAAGGACTGGGTGTGAAGGTGCCAACAGAAACCACAGAGTTCAGTGCATTGAGGCTTTCCATTGCAATTATAACAGAGTAGTGGCGATGATTTTAAGCATCAAATGCTCATCAGCCATAGTTGGTTCAGCCACAGAGATGTTTCAGGAAGGCTCAAGCAGGTCCACACAGTGTAGATGGAATGAAAATGAGAGTGATGGAAGGAAGAGTTCAGAACTGAATAAGTAACCGCCTCTCCCCAGGCAATTACTTTTCTCATCCAGGAACTATGGATATTTATTCCAAGTGAGTCACAGTAAATTGGTTTTGTTCCAGTTATGTTTACAAGCCATGTTAAAAGCATTAGCTTTGATGTGTTTGGGATCAAGGAAACCCCTTTCCTTTTTAAATACAATGACAATATCAAATGTAGATGGTGCTGGAATAAAGCTGAAACAATCAAAAATAAAATGTCTCCATCAACAAATTCCATCTGCTGTTCTTAGTGGGTAGGTTTATGCCCCTGTACCATTCCTAGGATAATGCCTTACAGCCACAAAAGCAGCTTGGCAATTTTCTTTCCTACCCATTAATTCTTTGTTGTGTCTTGTGGGAACATGATATATCTACCCAGAAAGCCTCTTAAGAACCTACTCTCAGAACATAGAATCACTGAATCACAGAATGGTTTGGGCTGCCCAGACCCACCCATGCCCTGGGTGGGTACCTGTTACCTGAAGCCCATGATGGGATAGCTGTGAAGAAGTTATCATGGGTTACCCTGTGTGATTTCAGGATGTTCCCAGGGCACGTATGTTTAATTTAGGTATGTTAAGATGTTAGAGATTATATCTGTCTTAGTTTTGCTTCCATTTCATAGTTCAAGCAGCTAGGAGGAAGGAAGGGGTAAAAGAGGGTGACTCTGACAAGCAGAGGCTCTTTAACCACCCCCGTCTTCTCCACTTCCCTGTGTTGTCTTCTCCCTTCCTCACTGACAGATTCTCCTGCTGTGATACAGGAACCAGGGCTTCCAGCTCAGGCTGTGCTGGCCCCTGTACGCTGTGCCACCCACTCCTGGCTGTTGGGCATCCTCATGCAGGAACTGTCTGGATGGTAGATGATCTGGCTGTAGTGCAGCCAAGACTCTCCTGTCTTACCTTTTAGCCACCTCATGATGTTGTCAGGATACCTGTTTTATTCTTATCCCACTTAAGTCTTGGGATGCTCTGTGTCATGGAATCAGAAACCCAGATAATCTTGTGACCTCTTATGTATGTTCTTGGAAAGATAGCTGGTCAGTGTAGAAGATGTGCAGGTTTATGTGGAGTCTTGGAGGGTGACTGAGCTAAGGGAGCTGCAGTTAAACCTCCTGGCTTGTCCTTTGTGGTTTGGGTGGCTATCAGAGGCAGGCAGGAGCAGTGTGACACACAAACTGTGTGCTGTGTCCTTCTGTTGAGACAGTGCTGTGACTGTGCAAAGGCAACACAAATACTTAATCCTTGGCTAAGCACAGGAAACCCTTTGGAGTGCTGCAGTACAGAACCTTTTCCTCCTCTGCTCTCACAAGGGATGTAGGTATCAGTCTTTTATTTTTTAATATGGAGAAATGGTGACAGAAAGGGAGTTGCTCAAGCAGTGCAGCTCATCAGTGCTCCCTACACTGTTCCACTGTGTATCTGCAGAAAAGCAAAGCCATGCTGCAGAGATCCCCATTTTGAGAGGAGGGCCTCCAAGGGTCCATAGCACCAGTTAGTGGCTGGTGGGACAAAGGGGTTGTTCTCCCTGGGGGCACTGCTAACTCCTGGAGTTAGTTTAGCAAATAGGTTGAGTTTGATCATTCAGAAATAATCCTGCCCTGTGGCTGCTGAAGTAAGAAGGAGAAGCAAGCAAGTGAAATCACAGAAGCCTTTCTGTGAAGTGGCTGCCAGTGAATAAGATCTGATCCACCACATGTGGCCCTTCTTCATCAGTGGGGCACCTTTTCTCTTTAGGCTGATCCATCCCTTTGCCTTGCCTTGTTTCCATATCTCTGAAATCAAGTCAGGTTCATTTATGCAATTTGTCCCTTTTCCCCTTATCAAAAATAGTTCAAACCATTGGGTTTCCTTACAGCTGGCACCTGACAGTCTCTTGTGCCTGCCAGATTCAGAATACAAGTTTCCTCTCTGGAGGGGGCTGTCTGAAGGTTAAGCACCACAAACATTGTCTCCACAACACTAAGCTAATAGTTTTGCAGATCCATGATGCACGAGGCTGAAAATTGGGACTTCTGGCTTCCCATTCTGCCCTTGAGTCTCTGTGCAGTTTGGGAAGTTACTTCTTCCTTTGGTACCATTCCTTTAGTTGTAGATTAGGGACAGTAATTTTCCCAGGAGGATGTCAGATTGATTCATAAATCTTCATGACTCCATTTAGTAACCCACAGCTCTTTGGAGGAAGTCTGCAGAGGTATCTGAGCAAGACCTCACAGGTGAAGAGAGGGAGCATTATCTTATGGAGTTACCCAACCTGCCCTCCTGCTGGCCGTGTCATTGTCACATCTGATGAGAGGTGGCCCCCTCACTGCAGCATGCTAGGGGTCAGGTCCATCCACTGTTGCTGCAAGGACTTGGTATGGAATATGAAGGATGGTGCAATCCAAAATCTGGATGTTGTTTACAGCAAGTGAAGTCAGTCATCAGCTACGTTTCCTGCCAACCACTGCCTAGGAACAAAACCATAGAAGTGTTTCTGAGCAAGAGGGAAGCAAGCAACTACTCTGTCCAGACAAAAAAAATGGATGAAAAGGGAACTCACAGCAGCTCCTCCAGAATTTGCTCTGGGATTTGGGGCACGGAGAGAAGTTAATTTTAAAACAACCTTACAGTAGTGAAGAGGTACAAGGCATCAGAGTTAGGTTCCAGATTTCTGTGTGCTGTGGATTATTATCATACATCAGCTCAGATGGCTCCTAACTTTCACTGCCTACTGGCTGATCTTCTCTTTCATAACTTACACATCTCATCAGGCTGACATGCCACACTTGTATTTGGCCCACAGCCTTGGAATAAAATTCTGTTTATTCTACTGCTAGAAAGTCTGGTAGGTGGGAGGCTCTTCTGCACAGCGTTGCCGTTCAGTCAGTTCATTCTCTTGCATGATGAAGCTGGAAATTCAGCATTACTGGATTTTTTTCATGGATGTACTAGGAGCTGAATTCTGCTGTGGAGGAAATAGTGTTTCACCTGCTGAAACTGGAGCTGAATTTACCCAGTTTTGGTGCGATGACTTTTAACATGTAGGAGGGGACACATTTTGATGACCTGTTGGTTTACTTTTATAATCATAGAATAACAGAATGGCTTAGTTTGGAAGGGACCCTAGAGATCATCTAATCCAACCTCCCTGCTGTGGGTAGGGATGCCTCTCAACTAGACCAGTTTGCTCAAGCCCCCATCCACCCTGGCCTCTAGGAAGGTGGCATCCACAACCTTTCTGGGCAATCTAATGAGGGATTTCATTGGGCTGATACACTGGGGAGGAAAAGAGTGTGATAATCCTGCAGATGTTTAATGGATACAGGCCACCAACTGGAATAACTGCTGTGTTATACATCCATGTGCTAAAAGCTCATATTTGTGTGTGTTGAAGCAGCAGGGATATTCTTGGAGAAATGCATATTCATATAGTCCATGCTGACAGATATCTCTGATTCATGCCCTGCTCTTATTTACTTGTAGCCCCACAAGACTTGTTTTTTTCAGGAGCAGGATGCTTCTGTACTGAACCCTACTGCTTGCACAAAAATACTCTGAATTTCCCCAGGACTCAGATGGATACAGGTGTGCTGACACTGTCCTTTGCCAAAATTCACTCACTTCTTTGTCACTGCCAGTATTTGCCACCACCAGCAGTGCAAATCCCAAGTTGTTCCTGCGTGCAACTAGGTTTCTGCTCTGCAACTTCTGGGTCATGTTAATGTGCAAAGGTATATTGGGAGCTGAGTTTTAATGGAAATTCTTTGATTTCCTGTGCTGGTTTTGGCTGGGATAGAGTTAATTTTCCTCCTAGTAGCTGGTGCAGTGCTGTGGTTTGGCTTTAGTGTGAGAATAACGTTGGTAACGCATGGATGGGTTTTAGTTGTTGCTAAGTAGTGTTTAATTACTAAGTTGAGGATTTTTCAGCTTTTCATGCCCTGCCAGCAAGAAGTTGGGAGGGGATGCAGCCAGGACAGCTGACCCAAACTAGCCAAAGGGATATACCATACATATGACATCATGGCCAGCATATAAACTGGGGGGAGTTGGCCAGGAGGGGCAGATCCCTGCTCAGGGACTGGCTGGACATCGCTCAGTGGGCAGAGCAATTGCTTTGTGCATCACTTGCCTTTCTTGGCTTTTATTTCACTCTCTTTGTTATCTTCCTTATTATTGTTTCAATTATTAAATCCTCCTTATCTCAACCAACAAGTTTTATTTGGTTATGATTCTCCTCCCCATCCCAGTGGGGAAGGGAGGGAGTGAGCAAGCAGCTGCGTGGTGCTGAGCTGCTGCCTGGGGTTAAACCACGACATTGTCCCATGGAAAAACCAAAACAACCAAACAATATGGACTAGTAAAATTTGGCTTGAAAATGTCCTCTCACACAGCCAGGGTTTGGCTATACCAAGCTAGATGAGAGGACAACCAAAGAGGTCGCTGTGGTTTGCCCCATTGAACTCTGCCCTGCTAGTAGTGACATGTGAGGAAACCCTCCTGCAAGCTGGTAATATCATGAGGGTTTTTTTTTAACTGCACTCAACAGGAAATGAAGTCCATTTAAAGTTATCCAATCAGCATTTGTATCTTCTCATCCACTTCTTGCTTGGCTTATCTGCTCTCTTCCTGTTCAACTACTTGCTTTCATCTGGTTAGCAAGTGCTGAGCTGTTGGAGGTTCAAGAGGACTGACTGATGGGGGGAAGGACGTGTGTAGTGTGAATCATCTCTGTGTGTGTTTTTGTGCAGAAGGCAGATGGAACATGCAACACAAACTTCAAAACTACAAAGACACAGGAGCAAGTTCTACAGGTTTTTGTGGAATTCATTGAGGGCAACACAACTATTCTGGTGAGTCTGAACTCTTCAAGTTCACTGACCTTTGACCCAGTGACCTTGCTTCAGGGCCATGCTTCCTCTGGTACAAGAAAAATGGATTAAACTAACAAGGAAGAAAATGGTTTCAACTTCCAGTCCCTCTCAGCAGATGGAGTGGATGTGGGGACTTGGTGGACTGTGTGAAGTAGCAGGCTGGGACTACTCCTGTCAGCTCTTGCCTTGTTCACCCCAAGTTCCTCATGCTAGCAAAATGTCAAACTAACTTATGGCTTGCCATCAGGTTCAACTATGGGTGTCAGATGCATCAGAGGGATGATGATGTAGATGGCACCACATGTCTCTTGTCTTTGGAACTTCAAAGAATTCTGTAGTGTTTTGCTGCAGAGTAGAGGCCATTATGAAGGCAGATGAGCCTTCCAGGGGAAGCATGCTTGGTAACACAGGGCAACATGACAAATACATTTTGGAGCTTTATGCATTAGGCCTTTTTTGCTTGTTTGGGTTCTTATTCTCTGCCCCACATGGTTGGAGCTCCTTGTCTCTCTAACACAATTTCATTCGCTTTTCACTGTGGAGAACTGAAAGAGTTTTAATTGTTGGAAACTTTTTAATAAAAAGAAAAAAGTCATGCAGAGAGTCTTCCTGCATCCAAAGCAAGACAGGTAGGTATGCTTGGTGTAATACACACAACAGAGGAGCTCTGCTCTGTTCATTCACTGTGAAAGCTTGTTGAAGTGTATTGTCAGATTGAATTTCAAAGGACGAACCTGTTGTTTGGGAGGTTCTAGCCTAAAATTAATGTGATCTCTTTGTTATATTGACTCTTGTAAACTGAGTATCTTTATTCATTCTTTACTTAAATGCTTATGTTTGGTGTTTTCATCCTCTCCTTCCAGAACAAATACCTCAAGCGTCTGCAGGAGATTCATATCATTCTGGAATCCTCAGACTTCTTCAAACGACATGAGGTGAGCCATGAGTGTAATGCTGTAGAGGGGCACTGCTGCTTTGTGTAGGCATTCAGGTGTACTTCACAACAGCCTGCTCTGTTGGTAGAAAGGAGTTTGTAGAAGAAAACACAGATGCCCCAAAGCCTGCATCACAAGGATGCAGAAGATTAAACTGGTTGAGGAGTAATTCCCCCTCTCTTTATAACATACTAGCACTTACAGCCCAGGGCCACTGCAGGGAATGGTTATTAGTACCAGTTTCCTGTGGTTTGCCTAATCTTGGTATATTCCAGTGGGAATCTTAACAGAAAGCTTGCATTTGGTACACTAGCCTTCCCTTGTAGTTTGGCAATGAAGGCGTTATCAGAGGGCATCATTAACGTTTTAAGTTCTGCTTGTTACAGCTCATGATTTTTAGATTAGACATTTTTACCTTGTCAGTTTTCTCTTGTTATTAGTGGGATTTTGTAGTCATGGGTCATGGTCTGTCTTTGAAAGTAGCTACTGGCTTTTGCTGAATTGCTCAAACAGACACCTGCTGCCCAGTGAGCTGGAGAATTGCTTTCCTTCCCCTTGTCTGCTGGGTCCCTTTTCCCATCTACTTGCCCATTTATATGTTACTGATTGATATGGGGCATATAAATTGCCACCATATAAGTGCAACCCAAAAGTCTGTTTGGTCACAGGTGAGAATGGGTCATCTGACAAGGTCATCTCCTTAGTGGGAAGTGTTAAGTGATGGGGGAGAGCTAAAGGTGTGTTTTTAACCACATCATCTCAATCTGTCTTCCAGGTCGTTGGAAGTTCACTACTTTTTGTACATGATGGCAGTGGGAATGCCAATGTGTGGCTGATTGATTTTGGAAAGACCACTCTTCTCCCTGATGGGCAGACACTGGATCACAGGATCCCCTGGCAAGAAGGCAACAGGGAGGATGGGTACTTGTTGGGTTTGGACAATTTGATTGGCATCTTGGAAAGCATCACTGAAAGATGAGTTGAGAACGGCACAAAACTTGCAGGGCTTTTCTGTAACTTTCTGCTTCACTGGGATCACTCAGTTAGAAGGAAATCTTTAACTCCCTCCAGACTCCTGAGATCATCAGAGCAGAGGGAGCTGCATCCAGAACCCAGCAGTTAGTGATCAAAATGACTTTGCATTGGCCCTCGATGAACTTCAATAACTTCAGACTGGTCTGTATTGTACCAGCCTAACTTCAGACTGGTCCTCAGAGAATTAAGATCTCCATACTCAGGAATGATACAAGCATGAGTCAAGAGGTCTGTATGGTAAGCCAGAATGACTCTGAGTTCTGGCCAACAGATGGGACTCCACATTACCTCTATGTGACCCAGAGGAAATGCTTGGGGATTCAGGGTAGGAATAACAAATTTTCAGGGAACTGAATAGTTTTGAAACCAGCAAGAGTGTTTTGGGGTTTTTTTTTACCCCTCTAATCCCAAATCTCCTTGCTTCTGTGTACACTATAGGTTGGACCAATAGTTTCTGCTACAGTGTGCATGAGGTGGGAATGGGTGATGATCACAGGGACATGGTGGTTTGGGGTGGCTGGATGTGGTAACTGCTGTTGACAATTCCTCCTCTTCCCTACCCCAGCCTCAATTCACTTCTATCCAAGAACAGCCTTTGCTTTTTTATGTAGCCTCTCAGGAGATTACAAATACTCTAGGGAGAGAATAGCAGCCTATTGTCTCCAAAAGTATTTGACTTTCAGACTGGGTGGGCTGTTGGAAAAGTGCCTACCCCTGGCAAGTTTGGTCTCTTGCAGCTGAACTGCAGTTCTGAAAATCAGTAATGATTCCTTCACACACAGACTGGGCAACTGAGGGATTTTTTTCAAAGCCTGCTTATCTTTAAAGGTAAAAACCCCATACAGGGCCACTCACATGCTCACACTAGTAGCCAGCAACCAGCGTGATCTCTTCAGATCATGGCTTGACTGGCTCCTAATGCACATGACTTCTTGGCCATGTTCCTGTTCCCAAATATGATGCTGCCACTTAAGCATATAGACTAATCAGGAAGATAATGTGTCTGTGTTCACAGCATTACACTAATGATAATCACCAGGCATCCTTCCTCCAGAGTACCAGCTGTTAACTCAGGGCAGCTTGAGGGAAGGAATGTCAATATATCACATCCCCTAGTCCCTGTCCAGAATCATGGGGCCATCTGCAGTTCAGTTTTCTTTTGCTGTGACCCAGCCACAGAAAATTCACAGTGTTTAGGTTAAAATCAGGAAAGACTGAAGTGATTTCTTGCAGTGGCTTCACATACCTTCTCTGGTGGTTGCCTCTAGTCACTTGAACAGTTCTTTAAATACTAGAAGTATAAATTCTATCAGTATTCACATGTTCACTCACATTCTGGGTTTGGACTGGAATAATGTGATGTAGTTTTCAAAATGAAGATTTATGTTACTATTTGGTTGTTAATCCCCTTTCAACAGCTAAAACTAGTAAGGCATACTGACAAGAAATCACTGTCTTTTGCTGGTGCCCTGTGCTCAGGAGGGATTCTGAGAACTGTGGGAGATAGGAAGGGGACTCCATGCTTTGCAAAACTATTTCAATAACAGTCATGATCATGAGCAAAAAAATGGAGGATCCATATCTGGAATGGAATCTGCCTATAATATTTGTAATTAGTATTGAAGAGCTTCAAATAATTTCTGAAAGGAGTTACTTCAGATAACACACTACTACACTAAGAGATCAGCCAAATTTAATGACTTCTTCTTCACCTCCAAGCAAAGCAGCAGTATTAAAAATCCAAGCTCAGTTGTGACCTAAAAGTTAGACAACACAGAGTAGGAAGTGGGACATTCTGTAGGAATTAATAACACATGGAAACATTTCATCCTAAACCAGAGATTGTTCAAAACTGGTGATTATTTTGCAGTTCACTGCAAATTCAGACTTTTTTTATGGCCTCCCAGACTCACTCAGTTTCATTTTCATGCTAGTGTGTTTTAGATGTGTCAGAGTGTTTACACTTTAAGTGACAGCAAGCCTGCAATGGAGAGCACAGATATTATCATTCCAGATGCCCCCTAACTTTTCAACATTTTTCAGATGACAATCTGTAGTGAATTTGATACAATTACAAACAACAAAAAAAGGAGTCTTCCTCTTTTCTTGCAGCCAACAGGTAAGCCATTGATTAGCAGTGCTTAAGGAGAACAAAGAGTGAATAGGTCTCACAGGGGAGGACTTTAATAACAATACATTTCTATGAGATTGCAGTTGCAAGCAGTCCTACCATAATTTAAAAACAAAAGTTAGAAATGAGACTGTTAAGGTGAGAGAATTCATTAAGTGGTTTGCCTAATTAATCTTCAGAGTTAAATTTCTTTCTTCTGTTACCACGTAACTGAATCTTTGGCACCAGTGTAACTTATTTTCTAAAGAGCAGATTTAGAGGATAAAAGTTGATGCTCAAATGTCAGTTGAGAAGCAGTGTGGCACCAGTAGCTTCAAAAATCCCAACTGCTGCTAGCATCTAGATGGTTTGCAGCATATGGTCTTGAGGAAGACATGGAAAATGACCCATTCTTCTGCAGTGTTTGAAACGTTTGCAGCATATGGTCTTGAGGAAGACCCATTCTTCTGCAGTGTTTGAAAATGTCAGGGGAAAAACAAAAGAGAACCTCTGGCATAGCAGGCCCTGGTCTGGAAACTCCTTCTAGGTGATAAATAGTTCTAGCAAGTTAGTTTTGAAATGGCCTTTTGGCTTGCTAAGGGATTAAAAGGGAAGAAGCCACAATCTTCTGCTGCTGTTGTGGGAAAGGAGAAGAGGCAGCTTTACAGTAGCATACTGCAGAGATAGGACTGCAACTGAGCACTGGAGCTTTAAGGGGCTGGAGGCTGTGACCTCATGAGCCAGCTACCACAGGGTATGGTAGATACCTTCACACTGGCTGGCCTGGCTGTGCACACTCACTTGCTGGTGTGAGGAAGCAGCAGAGCTGTCTTTCACTATGGAGTAAGTTGCCTTGAATAAGCTTATATTTCCCAGAGGGTCAACACGATGTCTTTGCACAGGCATGTGACATAGAAGAGCTGTTGCATGATAACCCAGGTACTTGTTCCTGGACAAGTCCAGAATGTAATTCTTTAATGCCTCCACTGAGCTAGTGCCTCTCTCTCCGGAGACACCAAGAGCACGTGTGTTTCCACAGCACAGTCAGACATGCTGGCCCAGAGGCACTTTGGTGCTGAACATCTCACCTCTGGCTTAGGCACCGAGGTCTTTAAACTCACTAGTTAGATGCACCAAGGTCTTTAAACTTACTAGTTAGATGCACCAAGGTCTTTAAAGTCACTAGTTAGATGCAGCAATGCTTGCTGCTGTAGTTGCTGCGTTCCCCTGTGAATCTAGCAGTAGGACTTCTCTCCTTCAACTTTGTCAGTGACTTGGGTTTTTTAAGGCCTTGGACAACTAGGACTATCCTAGGCTTCAGTTTTGTTCTCATTTTACAGATGGGAATAGTACCTCCTTACCTCACAGGAATGGTGTGAGGCTGTCCTTCATTATTGCTTGCAAGATGCTGTGAGATTCTTTGGAGGAAGGTGCAATATAGAAAGAAATGCACAAAGAGATACATCAGCTAAGTTTAAAAATGATGGATGTTGGGCCTCCCCCCAGGCTATAAATTTGGATAAAACTTAACCAAAGTGATAACATTTAAATTCCTCTTAATTTTACAGCAGGGGAAATTAATTTAACATCTGATCCAGTTCCTGTTATAGGGAAAG